ACCATGCCCATGTTTTAGAAACCATGCCCATGTTTTAGAAACAACGCCCATGTTTTAGAAACCACGCCCATGTTTTAGAAACCTCGCCCATGTTTAGAAACCACGCCCATGTTTTAGAAACCACGCCCATGTTTTAGAAACCACGCCCATGTTTTAGAAACCACGCCCATGTTTTAGAAACCACGCCCATGTTTTAGAAACCACGCCCATGTTTTAGAAACCACGCCCATGTTTTAGAAACCACGCCCATATTTTAGAAACCACGCCCATATTTTAGAAACCACGCCCATATTTTAGAAACCACGCCCATATTTTAGAAACCACGCCCATGTTTTAGAAACCACGCCCATGTTTTAAAACCACATTATTTTTTAGAAACGCGCCCATATATTAGAAAATATGCCCATGTTTTAGAAACCATGCCCATGTTTTAGAAACCATGCCCATGTTTTAGAAACCACGACCATTACTTAGAAACCACGACCATTACTTAGAAACCACGACCATTACTTAGAAACCACGACCATTACTTAGAAACCACGACCATTACTTAGAAACCACGCCCATATTTTAGAAACCACGCCCATATTTTAGAAACCACGCCCATATTTTAGAAACCACGCCCATATTTTAGAAACCACGCCCATATTTTAGAAACCACGCTCATATTTTAGAAACCACGCCCATATTTTAGAAACCACACCTGAATTACAATGCTATGTTAAACAATCTTTGAGTTGCATGCAACCTAGATTGTTGTTGTTGAAACTCTACAAGACATAGGTGTAAGAAAGAAGCTTACCACATGTTCAAAATAAGTTATATGTGGATGATACAAAGAACAAATATCTAAGTTTCCTCTATTACTCAGTATTATGTTAACTCGATGTCCTTAACTCAAACAATTCAGTATATCAGAATTCACCAACCTCCAATTACTTTAGGATTGAAATCGGTGCTTATTAATTACTTAATTTGCTTAGATTCGGCAATTTTTTGATAATTCCACAATCAACTATTTAGGCTCTGCTTTTATCTTAGATGACAGTGAAAGCTGTTCATATAGGTGATTTTCCATCATTGCTAGTCTGTCATCCATCAACAATTGTATTTTTGACTTAATAAAAACTACAAGCTAGCTCAAATGCTTTGATACTTGATATGCAGTTACTGTTTGTAGTAGCTGTTTTGCATTTGTGTGCCATGAACCATTATCAGCTGTCTAGGTGCTGTTTGCACAAAATATATATTATAATTATTAAATGCAAATTTCCATAAAGGCCCAAGTTAGCAATGTTTTTGTCATTTACAAAGTACCATTAGTTAATCGTATTTGCATCTTTATTACAGTGAGGTTATTTTTAAGGAAGGATTGGATACTGTGGAGGATATCGCCATAGATACGGTGAATGATAACTTGTATTGGACGGATTCTAGTGCTGTGAAAATAGAAGTTGCCAGATTAGATGGCACTGCAAGAAAGACTTTGATTAGTGATGACATCAACGAACCCAGAGGAATTGTGGTTTATCCCAGTAAAGGGTAAGTGACAATTTTTTTAATCTGTGTTTATTCCATATCAAATGTTTTTTGTGACTTCGGTTATGACTGTGCATTACCCATGAATATTCCAAAAATAGGTCTTTCAAATATCATGTTAACAACACACAACTCTCTCCCTCTCACCCTTTCTCCCTCTCCCCTCTTATGTGTGTAAATTAATATGTATAGTGTTAGTAATTTCCAATAATTTTTGGTTATAAATAAGAAATTTTGCAATGAAATGGACCACAAATCACACATGTACTTACAATCGACTACCCTGCAAAAACATGCACTCAACAGCACGAGAAATTTGCATGAATCACATTCTTGTACAAGACATAGATAAACATGGATGGATGAAATTTTATGGAACTAAAAAAGGCACAATTTTGTGATCAGGAAAAATTTTAGAATTATGCAAATCTGTTAAATAATAAGGTGGTTGAATTTTCAGAGTAGGCACAATTTTGAATTTTTTTTCAGTACTTTTAATTTTTGATGAAATAGATCTTTCATTGCTCATGAATTGTTTTGTTTTTTTCTGTGTAGTTTATTGTTTTTCTCTGATTGGGGAAGCCATGCAAAGATAGAGAAAACCACTATGGATGGAGCTATAAGGGAGAAACTTGTGACCACACATTTAATATGGCCAAATGGTCTGTGTTTAGACTTAACAGAAGATAGACTCTATTGGACAGATGCTCATACAAACACAATTGGTGAGTCCGCTCATTTGGAATCAACCTTGCTTCAAATATTTAATTTATTCAATTATTTGTATTTGCTCTGCAAAAATGGGGAGCTGTTCATATAGGTGTCTGACATTTGTTTGTCAGCTATCAACAGTTAAATTTTCTACTTGAAAACTACTAACTCAAAAGTTTTGATACTTGATATGTAGAGTGGCTTCTGAGATTTTCTCATTTTTTGTTAAAAATGCTATTTCCACCATCTTTTTGAAAACTACCAGCTTAATTTGATTTGTAGATACATTTGATAAACCTTTGAAATTTGTAATTGTATGACATCTGTAATTACCATGGCAATGACCTTATAAAACTTGCGTGGTTGTGGAAAATTTGTCCATACCAAATAGCTAATATATCATCGTACAAGACATTTTGTTTTAAGGAAGAGACTCTACAACAAAACTGTAATATATTGACAAGTTTGTGGCTTAACGTAAAAAGAACCAGTCCGTACTATTCAAAATGGTGGAACACTCTTACTGTTTATTAGCATTGAACTCTGGGTAATTAGACCAATGATGTAATCATCCTCAAATAGAACCTTCAAAACATTACAAAAACATCAAAGCTGATTACGGGTGATTGTGGCGACTTTCTATTTAACCAAATGCTTTTGACAACTGTTGTAACTGCAAGTTTTGCCTTAGTTGTGATTCAATGTCAATGCCAATAAATATTTTGCGCATGTCAAATGTTAGACCCCAATAAAGACATACAAATGACCTCAGAGATCAGTGGTTTCTTTCGTCAAAATAATACTTCAATAATACTTCAATGATTCAGGATGCATTTCTAATAGAGCAAATATTGTTTTGATTCAGTATGAGTGACTTTATTCTCAACATTTTTTTTTTATTATTTTAATTTTAGAAACTGTGAGATTGGATGGTGGAGACAGAAAAGTGATTGTGACCAACATACCCCACCCATTCTCTGTTGCCATTCTTGAAAACAAGGTATACTGGGTGGATTTGGAAAGTAGTAAGTATTGCTTACAATTAATGCACAGAAATTGAATTGAAATCCACACAGCAAGAATTGTCGGTGCGAGTAGCAGTAAGTTTGAAATGGTACTGGATGTACTACAATGGTACTCCATCTAGGTTTGAAATAGCACTAGTTCCGATTGCAAAGTTTACACATACAAGGAGCATTGTTACCAGTGTCAATGACACACA